GATCGAAAATATAGTAGTAGAAAAATTGAATAAAATAATTTATTGCTCACAATTGATGAATAAATATAGTGAAGATGATGAGTAAAAAGAGACCTAGATGAAGAAAGAGCAAATTTTGGAGCAGCTGATCATGGAAAAATCATCCAAATTTAAGTAGAAGGGAGTAAGGACAGAAATGAAGAAAAATATAATTTAGGTGAGGAAAAATCAATTGATTTGGGAGATGTAGGAGACGAAATTAATAAATCTAATCATAATTTTGCAACCATGGATGTTGATAGTGAAGATGATGATGTATATCATAGACTAAAATTAAAAAATAACTCTTGGGAAGATGAAGAATTTGATGAGTTGAGAAACGAAAAGCTAGAAAAAGAGTTGATTCAACTAATGAGGAGAAACGAAAATAATGAATATGAATATAGAGATAATTTTGGAAGAGAAAATTTGAATTTTACTGAATTTATTAGATCTGAGATTAAAGAAGACAATCCTTCAATCCTTCAATCCTTCAAAACCCATAGCCTATTAAAATTATTTCTAAGCTTGAAATATTTCACTCCTCACAAATTGAATAAATATGTATGAAAGATAAAATAGAGCAGGGGAAGATTATGCAGATAAAAAAACACATTAAGAAATTGATGAGTGGAAGAATTAGATATATCAGTTTAGATGAAAAAATTTTAGATTGTGTAAGAGCTAATTTGAAAATTATATGGCCTAATCATATTTTATGATCTATTAACACAAAGTATTTACTAATGAATGAGAGTATTACAAAACAAGATAGAAATGAGGAAAGATTCTTTTTAAAATGAAAATATTATTTTTGATAATTTTTTGTTAATTTCTATTTTGTTTTGACTGAAAGTATGTCAAGGTATATATAAAGTATATGAATTTATGCTAAATCTGAAAAAGAATATCATGAAACTTACCTTGGGATACAAATATATTTTGATGACCATAGATCATCTTATATGATCTAAGAGTTGTCTAGCTAAAGACATTAAATTCAGCACTGCATGAGAGGCAACCCATGATTTTTATTTCATTCTATTTGATTTTTTTTCTAAGCTCTATTTTGAGGTGATGTCTTTTTGAGCTTTATCATTTATGAAAATATTTTTAATGCTTAACTTTGTACATATGCATGCTTCACTTGAAAATTATATTTTCTACATATTATGTTTTGAGTTTTCTGTGTCATTGAGGACAATGTCATTTTTAAGTTGGGGGATGAAGTATTCATTATTAATTTATGCTATAGAATGATTAAGAACATGTGTTTGTATTAGAATAGCAACTGAAAAAAAACAAATAAAATAAAATTCGGTAAACTACAATATCTATTTTTTGGTTTTCTATCAGGAACAAGACCCTATCAAAAATAGCAAACAAAAAACATCCCAAAATTTGAAATTCTAGAGACTTTTTTCTCACATTTCAATCCCCTAAACATATATTACTAAAATTCGAAATTAAAACTATAAAGAGGATAGTTTTGATTTATTTTTGATAAATTTATTATTACTAAAAATAGAACTAAAAATAGAAAATAGAACTATTAGAACTATCTAATTTACAAATTTCTTACATCATATTGCATACATGAAAAATTAAATCAATTAAATTGATTGATACCAAAAGATACTAAGAAGATTATTATTGAGTCAAAAGAATAATCTAGTAGCATGAAATGTTGGAATACTCTGATGTAGGATGGGGCAAGAACTCTTGTATCTTATCAATAAAACTCGAGACCCAAGATAGGGTAGTCGGATCAATCCGATAAGAATGTCTGAACCCTAGACTCTAGGTCTAACCACGTAACCTAAGTATAGGTAGGCATACCAATATGTAATATCAACCTAGGACAACTCGGAGAAACACTCGACGATGGTATTTGAGGCCCTCTCGGTCCACGTTCGGACAGACAACAAAACAGTCATCGTGAGGTAGCCTAGGGCTGCAGCTCACGATCGATGACAAATCTAGCACAGCGTCGGAAGTCACAATCTGATAACCATCCTATCTTGTCTACGTTCTCCTGATAGCGGTGGAGATGAGCTGAGAAAACCCTTCGAGAGATAATTAAACTTAAGAGGAAGGGGTACAGAGCTAACCTTCAAGACTGTGTAGCCTAGTGGATCGTGACGGAGCAAAGATTCAACGAAGGCAGAGACGTCTAGTGAAGAGCAATGCTCAGCATCGATGGTCGGTCCTAGTCCAGAGTCACAGAAGTCATCGTCTTAGGGTGTGGCATAGTCGGCATGGGCGTGGGCCTACAAGTGGGCCGAAGGGCATGCTAACGGGCATGGGCCCACTGGTGGGCTGAAGGGCATGTTAGTGGGTGTGGGCCTGCTGGTGGGCCGAAGGGCACGCTAGCAGGTGTGTGCGGCAAGCCGTGCAGCGTGCCCTAGGGCACGCGGGCAGTGATGCGGGGTGGGCGTGTGGGTCATAGGAACCGATGCGCGAGGCGCATGCAGCGGCGGCACTTCAGTGGGAATGTCAAGTGTCAGCGGTGCTTCGGTGGGAGGCCGAGCGTCAGCGGCGCTTCAGCGGGAAGGCCAAGCATCAGCGACACTTCGTCGGGAAGGCCGAGCATCAACTGTGCTATGGCGAGAATGTCGAATGTTGGCGGTTGGGTGGCAAACCAACTGTTGCCGAAAGGGTCGGCCTTCTTTGGTGGCGCCGAGAAGTGGAGTAGAGGAAGGAGACGATCCAGCCGGCGATACCGAGGAGGGTTGAGCCCTCCTAGTCTAGGCAGCACCAAAAACAGTGCGATGACGGCGGATCGTCAGGAAACTTTGGCGGGGGCTTGCAGAGCTTGGATTGGATCTGGCTCGTCGATACGGCAGCAGGGTCTCTTCTGACATCGGTGGCAGATCGGCGTTCGTCGGCGAACAGCCAGCGATTGGGTAGAGTGGCGGAGGGCGGCTCTGGCGAGTTTATGGTGGAGTTCCAGAGGAAGAGGCTGCAGTCAAACCAAGAGTCGAGAGACTTCGGCGGAGTGCTCAGCGACGGCTCGTAGTGAGGCAAAGCAAGCCCCTTTCTTCACGACAGTGTGACTGGGTTCCAGCAGAGGTGGCGGTGGCTGCAGTGGCAGCCACGACCGTTTCGTCTGGTGACGGTGGCGAGCTCTCTAGCAGCAATGAGATGGCCGGCGGCAGCAGTGGTCTTAAGTGGTAGTGGGACTTCTCAGGCAGTAGCATCACAAGGAACGAAGTCCTCAAAGGGGATATCAATGGCCTTCCTTTTCCTCCTTTCCTCCCTATCCTAGATCACAGAGAAGGTACTCACAAAATGATAATCTCTCTCAAAAATATAGTGCTCTTTTGAGGGGGGGTCCTACCTCCCCTTATATGGGGGCCCACAAGTGGGCTAAGGGGAGGTGGGTCCACTTAAGACCCTCAAGCCCATAAGCCACAAAGGCTACAAAAGGGGCTTATTGGGCCTCTTAAAGAGAGACCCAATAAGCTCCCCTAAAAGGAGAAAGAGGGAGGCCCTCTTATGGTGCTTAAGTGGGCCTCCAATGAAGACCCAAATAAGCCCCAAAAGAGGCCCAAAAGGAAAGACACATAGGTTCCCCCCCCTTAGGGTTTTAATTGGGCCTCAAAGAGAGACCCAATAAAATCCTAAAGAAAGGGAGACAAACAACAACACACACACATAGAAATGGGCCCGCTAACACACAAATGTGAGGCCCAACAAGTCAACGTGAAAATACAAAGAAAGATACTGGTGAGCTCGAGCTCGTCATCGTCGCGGAGGTGGAATATTGTTGTCCCAAAGGGCTAGGCCGCATAGCGAAAGCCAAGCTCCTTCATCTTTGTGCGTCGATCAGGCTGAACTCAGACTGCCGATGTCTCCTAAGCTGATGGAGACGGGTCTTGCTCGCCATCATACTCCTTCGATACATAATAGATAACATGGATTTGATTTTACAGATTTTTCACTTCATGATCTTGATGAATAGTACTTACTTGATGTGAAAATTTGATTGATCATTTGAGTTTAATGGAGATTTTTGTACCCCGATCTATAGGACATGTGAGGAAAAATTACTTATTTCGAAAAAAATAAGAAAGAGAGAGCAATGTGAAAAATCTAGAAACGAAGAGTACACATAGAGGGTGTGAGACATCATTCTCATTATTGAAAATCATGTATAGAAAAATACTTACTGCAAAATAAGTGGATAAAGTGAAAGCCTTGAAAATGAAGTGTACACATGGAGGGTGTGAGACATCATTCTTATTGTCGAAATTTTTCTACGAAAAAAGCTACTTATCCACTATATATATAAAAAAAAAGAGAAGGAAGAAATATAGTACAAACTTCAAAAATCAAGCTATGAAAAAAAGGAAATATAAGATCAATATATATTCTTGGATGAGTATTAATAATTGGAACATCTTGTAAATATATCTATGAGTGAAGAAGTGATAAAGATGTGAATAGAAGAAGTGAAGTCTAGATTGTTATTCGAAGAAATGCTTAAACATTTAAGTGCTTGACATCATTCTTAAATACTTGATATAAGAATCTAAAGTGTCTAAAGGTGCATCATTTCTGATTGTATTTTTTTTCTTTTTATGTATTGAAATATGATGTTTGAGATTTGTAAATTTTTATTTTCGTAATTCCATTGCTAAGGGACTAGCAATGATTTAAGTTGGGGGGTGTGGTAAGTCTTAATTATCATGAGTTAATAATTAGTAAATAATATAGTTTTAGCCTTAATTCATGATAAATAGACTTATATTTATGTTAAAGTGTGAAAAGTTGTTTTCAATTGATTAACGTGAATTATTGGGTAATTATGTAGCTTTAGACGATTTTACATGATTTTTATAGTCTTACTTTTGAGATAAATGAAGAAAAAGAAATTAAAATAAAAATAAGATAAAATAGGGGGACCCGCTGGCCAGTTGGGCCTACAAGTAGGTCGGAAGCGCAATCAGGGAGTAGCTGTGAGTAGGGGCTCGAGCAGCTTAGACCGATTGGGCACATGTGCGCCACCCCCCTTCTATGTCACTGGTGGCTAGTCGACTGTGGGACAAGGAGTGGTCATACACATGCAAGAAAGGGACTTGATCAGAAATGTAGTATTACTATATATTCACTAGAAATTTCAGCACACAACCGATGTGGGACTTTTTAACCCATGTCACACCTCCCCAGAAAGGGCGAGGAGGCAACCGGTGCAGGTTCAAATCCTCCCAAAGCCAAAATTCATATTTTATTTATTTGATTATCGTGACTTTCTTACAGATTGTTGGTAAGGAATTAAGCAACCAAAATCACTGAATCATCGACGAAAATCTTGTCAACACGATTCGTGGAGCATTGTTACTAAAATTGCTGAATGATTCACAATAAAAGCATCGTGAATCCATCGAGTAACTCATCTCTAATTGATCGACGAACAAGTCGTCATTGAGAAGAGGACGATCTATCAGGAGATGAGTCACCACCTCTTGAGAGCATACCAGATGCAATGAAGAGCCTTCTCTTGCTGCACAGATCTGAGGATGAAGCTTCTTGACATGTACCCCACCTGCATCTAGCTCCTCTCTGTCAGGTGACAGCCATTAGAGAGCCGCAAAGTTGTCATTTTTCCGCTCCACTGGGGGTGACAGCCGCCAGAGAGGATTCAACAACTCATTCATTGATCTTTAGACTTTGCAAGGAGATCTAGAGATTGCTCACGTTGTCTTTGTCCAAGGAGAGCCTTCAAGGCCATAAACACTACACGACGATCCTCCCGAATGCTCAAGATTCTAGTGCATCGTCGACGCATCACCGCCTTGACGTCGGAATTTTGTTTTCCTACTTTCGACTTAATTTTTGTTTCATTTAGTGATAATTTGTTGATTTTAAATTTACAAAGATATACTTCATTTCATTATGATTCTTCCGACTTTTGTAAGAATCACTAGGTGGAACTCTATTTTCACTCGATTTGCATTTGCCAAGTGCTGGCATCATCCTAATGTCTGCACCCGTATTTCTTTTTTTTGTAAATTTTAAATATATTTCATTTTCAGTTACTAGTATAAAATTCATAGAAAATAGTATTCTTTGAGAACAATTTTGAATAATTACCAGATACTATATTACATCCCTCTGATTGACCTAGAAAATTACCATTATTTTTGAAAGTTTTATTGAATTATAATTGATATATTTATTCAGAAATATTTCTAAATATCTAAAAATTCATATTTTCTAGTTTTATAAATTTTAAATTTGCATGATTTACAATACAACGACTAAGTCACATCAATAATCAATGTATCCCTTTCTAACATGTGTATGGCCACTCTTTGTCGCATGCCTAATTGGCCATTGATGATGTGGAAGGGGAGTGACGCACATGTGTCCTCTTATCAGTTTATCTTTAGCTGCTCAAGCCCTTACTCATGATTCTGCCTGTCAATGCTTCCAACTTGTTTATGGGCTCGACTAGGTGGCATGTTTTCTCTTTCTTCTATCTTTTTTTTTTATTTCTCTTTATTTAACTCAAAAATAAGATTATAAAAATTATATAAATTCACATAAAATCACATAATTAGCAAAATTAACTAACTAAAAACTATTTTTCATAATTTGACATGAATATAAGTCTATTTATCATGAGTTTAGATTAAAACTATATTATTAATTAATTATTAACTCATGATAATGAAGACTTATCAACCATCTTCACTAAAGTATGTATTTTTTGATTAACATCAAACTTATCCAATGATTATATCATCGTATTTGTCTAAGGATCAAGAGAATAGATTACTTGATGTACTTAGGACATAAAGAGAGGTGATTGGCTGGTCTCTAACAAATATTTGAGGACTTGATCTATTTGTGTGTATGCACATATTTTATTGTGAGGAGAACTATCATTTCTTTTTATGCATTTCCTTACTAGCTTTTGTTTCGGACATATTTTATTGGTCGAGTGCTTTAGTTAGAACTATTCAAGGGCAATAGTGTAGTAGATGGGGCATAAAAATCAGAATTTTTTTCGCTTTTCCCTCCTCTCACATGCATTAAGGACAATGCAAGACTTAAGCGGGGGAGGTTATCTCTTCCTTCATTTGCATGCATTAAAGATAATGTATCATTCAAGTAGGGGGGAGAAAAAAAAACTCAAAAATGTTATGAATATTTTAAAACTTTTACTGCATTGATTATTTGCACAAACCCATATGCTTAAACAAACAAAGCCTAATGCTCCTTTAAAAGGGTAAGTCAATTAGAAAAGTTTACCTTCTCTAGATTAGGGGTGTGGATCTCATGAAAAAAAGATAGGTGAATTCTTTACCATGATCATTATTCTTTGAAGTATGAAGGAGTTTTAGGTTGTATTCATGGGTATGTGGTGCGACAATAAATGGCTAATGATAGTATATTGTGGATGAAAACGATTGAACTAGATCATCTTAGTCTAGTTATTATGTTGTGGTTGATAAGTTTTCATTATCTGTATTTACCTTATATTTATCAATATTTAGTGCATAAAATTAACGGAAATAATACATGTTACATTTAATTCGTATGCATTCAGATCATTCATACATAAACATGTATTTTAATATTTTTAAAATTATTTTAAGATAATTAATTTTAAATAATTATGCATGAAATATTTTTATGTGAGTTTTAGGATTTTCTAAATTTTATCCTGGATTTTTTGAAATTTTCTCGAATTTCTCATAATTTCTAAGAGGTTTTGATATAAAGGTCTAAGATAAAAGAAAATCAGAATGAGTTGGGCTGGGCCGAGCCAAGTGACCCAATGGGCCGGAATATTCAGAGGCTAAAAGCTAAACCATCAACAGGTCGACAGTGGAAGCAGAACCGACGAGTTAGCATGACACTTAAGCAGATGTGGGACACGTGGCCCACACGGGTTCGACGACATTTCAATGGACATCGTGAACAGAAATTGGCACAATTTACGTCAGACCCCAGAGAGAAATGTAATTGGAAATCCGTACCTAATGGCAGAACGTGAAAGAAGAGCGGGTGATAGAGTAAGGCTGTCATTGATCTCTCTTTCTTTCGCGCCTTTTCTCGCTCCCTTTGTCTGTCTGCTCTCTCTCACTCTATCTTGCTCTCGCTTTCTTTCTGTGGATGCGTCCTCGCTCTACGAAGCACGGCGGAGTTCGGACAGCCTGCCGCCTTCTCCTCTCCTCTCCGTCGAGTTCTTCTGGAACCCTTTCTCGTGCGCGAATCCGGAGGAAGAGTGGGAGGCCGCATCCGGCGGAGGAGTCCACCGCCGAAGACGCCGAGGTCACGGTCGGCGCCGCCTCACGGAGAGGTCGTACGTTCCCAGGCTTCTGCTTCCCTGAAAGGCCGCTCCGGGTATGTTCTAGTGCCGTCTTTCGACGAATTCTCGCCTTTCGTTGATTCGGGGGTTATGTTCTAGTGCCGTCTTTCGATGGGTTCGTGATTTTCTGTGTCGGGGGCATCTTCTTGTGGACTCTTTGGATGGGATCTTTATTTTCTTTGATTTGGACTTTCGGTTGCCTGCGGTGGTGCGGGTGGTGCGAGATTGCTGAAGAACGCTCTGGCTTTCCTCCTTCCTCTTATTTATTTACCTTCTTCCGATTTGTTTTGCCGCTTCGTTGCTGATTCGATTTGATGTTTGGTCTGGGTAGGGGGATCTATCTTCTTCTTTAGACTTCCATCCGATTGCTCTTTGGGGACGGATGAGTGTTACCGTCTGGAGGAGAAAAGATTATTTCAGCAAGGTTTATCGATTGACGGTGACGGGTGAGCGTGTTGAATCAAGGGGCACATTCGATTTTCGGATCGCTGAGCGATCGACCAGTTTCTGGAGAAGAACCCGGTGATTTCCGGCAGGAAACAACACCCTCCGTACCTGCAGCTCTCCCGAGCGTTATTCCCCACCCAGAAAAACCATCAGAACTTGGTGGCGGGCTGTCCTGTTGAGAAAGCAGCTGGAATCGAGGGAGGAAGTGTGGACGAGGTTGTCGGGCTACAGGAGGAAGCGAGGATGTCTCCCATCCCGGATCGGGTACATGCTTCGACGTCCCTCATTCCTTTCCTTGACGGCGACTGTAGAGAGCTTTCTCTCTCCATCCCAAAGCACATCACATCTTGACAATAGGAATGTCCTATCCAAAATCGACAGGTGCAGGTCGGAAATTCTCCATTATACAAGGTAGAGAGAATGTTGGGTGCAGGAGGTTTTGGGCTGGTCTACATTGGACGAAGGGTGGCTGGTGGATCTCAGGGCAATGGGCCCAATGCCTTTAAGGTTTAGTTTCAACCTCCCATCACTCCTGCCAAGGGAATCTTTAAATACTGCTGTTTTATGTTGTCTCTTTCATTTTCCTGCGGTGGGTGTAGGTAGCACTGAAGTTTGAGCATAGAAATAGCACGGGTTGCAGATTTGGCCCCCCATATGAATGGCAAGTTTATGAGTAAGAAGACACCCCCTACTGCTCTAATTTATTACGTATTGTGTCGATCTAAAACTACGTTCTTCATCTGACTTTGTGAATATGGTTTTAGCCATCTCAAGGGATGCTATGGATTGCCTAGGGTGCACTACAAGGGCCGCCAAGGAGATTATTTCGTCATGGTTGGCGTAGAGTCTTTCATTTTATTGTTTCCTCGAATTATATTTTTTATTGAAAGCTAATTATGATATTGTTGATGATGATTGCTGCAGATCATGGACATCCTTGGACCAAGTCTTCTGGATGTGTTCATATCCATTGGGCAAGTGTAAGAAAATAATCTTGACTTCATATTCAAAGTCAATATTCTGTTGAAAATTGTGCTATTGAGTTTGACTAACTCCTTGGACAGAATGCCACCAAATATGGTGGCTTGTATTGCTGTGGAGGCAATATCCATCCTTGAGAAGCTACACCAAAAAGGGTACGTATGGCTTTGTGGCAGTGTGATATTTTTTCAATTAAATTTTTGCAAAGGTCACAGTAATCAATTCATTGCTCCCTTGTGCACTCCCCTCCCTCCCTCCACCCACACAAAAAAAAAAACATGCCAGGTTTGTGCATGGAGACGTCAAGCCAGAGAATTTATTGTTGGGTAAACCCGGAAGCTCAGGGGAGAAGAAGCTTTTTCTCATCGACTTTGGGCTGGGTATGTTGCTGCATTCCAATCACTTCTTGTTTTCACCTTTCGCACCTATTGATTTTAGAGTAGGGTTTGTTTTTCCAAGTATATAAACAAATTCGTCTTGACTGAGAAGTCCCTGTCTGTATCAACATCAGTGATATTTTTGTGCTTTGTTCAGAGCCTGTACAAATGCTAATTGGTGTCATTAATATTTTAATCAGCTTCAATGTGGAGGGACAGTTTGTCAGGCCAGCATGTCAGCTTATGCCAACAGCCAGATAATTTCAGGTTTTTTGGGAAACGATATTCTATTTTTTCCCTAAATTCTTAGCTAAGAGGAGGATTCATAAAATCTTACCCCTACCTTACTATCTATCTCATGTTCCCTAGGGGCACAACACGATATGCAAGCGTCCATGCACATTTAGGCCTCACAGCGAGTAGAAGAGATGATCTTGAGTCATTGGCCTACACTCTGATTTTTTTGATTAAAGGAAGGCTGCCGTGGGAAGGCTATCAGGTTTGCTTTCACCTCTACTTGTACATGTTCTCCCATCTCTTTGATTGATCACTTGCTGATTCTTATGCCAACTATGTAGGGGAATGACAAGAGGTTTCTAGTCTTCATGAACAAGACTGTAACCTCCCCCGAGACGCTGTGTGGTGGCTGTCCCCCTCCTTGTGCACAATTCCTTGAAGCAGTGAAGAAGATACAATTTGTTGAGCAGCCCACCTACTCAAAGCTCATTTCTCTTTTTGGAAGCTTGATATGCCCCCCCTGCACCCTGTTAAAGACCATTCGGATTGATGCAATTTTGAAGGTGGTTGCAAACATGACATCACTGAAATTACCTCACATATTTTTATTTTATGTCAGATGGTTTTATCTCTTTTTCATGGCTCTATCATCTGTTGTTAAATAGGCTGACCATGTTTCCAACAGGTTCACCAAAAACGTGGAAGATTGCAGGTAAATCATGAAGAAGATGTGTGTCATAGAAAGAAACGGATAAAATGTTTGATTGATGACAGACCATGACCATGTACATGTAAGAATATAAATAAAATCTGTAAAGTGCCAATTGAGAAAACATAAATCTCATGACTAAATTATTTATTATTATTGTTATTATTTATTCATAAAGAAAACGATAGTTTAAAAGCCTCATATTAAGGGCATGAATATAATACTTTTTTAATGTAATCATAGCTATTGATAAAGGTGTGTAATTAATATTTATGCAAAAAGAGAAACTATATCAATCAATGATAATAATACAAGACAATCATTTAGAGGGCGTGAGTATAAGTAGATATTTATATCATAGTTACTCTTGCTAGGAATATGTATCATTTATTGCCAACATTTAAACTTTAGAAATGTTTTGTACCTACTATCTATTCACCTTAGAAATGGCACCACTTTGGACGTAACCTATTGAGTACAGGAATATAATATGTTTAAGTACATTCACACTTACAAATTATCAGAAATAATTATTAGACCGATAAATGTAAATTTTATGCATAAATAATGAATATTACTTTTTTATAAGAAAGCTGGCACATAAAAATATAGTATTAAAGGGAAGAAATCTAATATTATTTCATACAATCATAATGATTAGTTGCAATGAATAATTACTATAGTTTACCAAAATGAAAATTTTATCAGTAAATAAATGAACACTACAAGTATTGGATTAAATGGCACGAATTTGATAGTTTAGGTTATATTTATAATTACTAATCACTATGATTAAATATTATTTATTAGAATATGTAAAGTTATGAAGAAATAAGAATTATGTATTGGAAGCTTATGTGTCCACCAAAGGACACACATCCACCCCATAATGTGTTTAGAACCACATGTAGTCCAAAACTGAAAGTAATGTAATGTCGTAATTGGTTCCCATCATAGTAAAAGTATGATTTCTTTAGTGATGATCTAAAAATTAAGAAGCATCTAGATTCATAGAAGATTGGGTATATAAAGAGGAGTTTGAAATAAAAGTCGCATAGTTATGCTTTGTAATGTTTTCAATTTGAAAAGCATATCTTGACAAAGTTAAATCTTATATGATTCACATGAATGAATGTCATCGTATATACTTTTTATACATTGCACCCTCTAGATGTTTTCCTAAACTTGAAGAAAAATGTACTCATCGTCAAATCTTGATTCATTCCATTGATGAGTGGAAAATGAATTTCTTGTCTAAACTAAGACTTTAAGCATAAGTAGGAAGTTATTGTATTAACAAGTGTGCCGACCATCACATTTATGAGGATGATGAATTAATCATGGAAACTATTTATTGAAAAAAATTATTATCTATTATCTATTTTGACTGTAGTCTAATGTAAAATTGTAATTAAGAGTTACATAATTCTATATGCAACCCCTATTAAATGTTTTTGAGCCAAATCTATACTATATATAAATTTGTATATAGTTTTACACATATAAAATGAGATTTTTGCCTTTTTAAGAGTACACGTACAATATTTTCAAGTAAATTGATAATATTTTCAAGTACAATATTTTTACCTTTATTATTTTTTAATATAATGTCTTTTTTTGTCATAATAGGAAACCACTGATAAGTTTTCATTATCATGACTTACTAATTAGTAAATAACTCATGATAAATAGACTTATATTTTTGTTAAATTATGAAAAATAGTTTTCAATTAATTAATGTAATTTTTTTAGCTAATTAGATAATTTTTTATGCATTTATATGATTTTTATAATCCTATTTTTTGAGATAAATCAAGAAAAAGAAATTAAAATAAAAATATAGCAAAAAGAGGGGACCCGTCAACCAACCAGGCCTGTAAGTAGATTAGAAGTGTAGTCGGGGGGAGCCACGAGCAAGGGCTTGGGTGACTAGGACCAATGGAGGCATGTGTGCACCACTCCCCTTCCATGTCGCTGGTGGCCAGCCAAGTCTTAGGTAAGGAGTGGTTGTACATGTGAGAGAAAAGTACTCATTACTTGTAAATGTGATATTACTATATATTTGCTTAAAACATTGGCGCACAAGTGATGTGGGACTAAACCCACATCACACCTTCCCTTGAAAGGCTTTGACGATTTTAATACCTAAATTACTCCTTAATTATAATAAAGATATACTATGAGGACGTCACTTGATAAGGGCATTAGAGTACTTATTTCAATCTCTCTTATATAGGTGGACAATCAGCACAGGTTTGAATCCTCCTAGAGCCCAATGAAACATTATCTCGACTTTCCTATAGATCACTAGTGAAGGATTAAGCTATTAAAATTGTTAGATCATTGACAAAAATCTTGTCAACGCAATTCACAAAGCATTGTTACTAAAATTACTGAAAATGATTCGCGATAAAAGGATCATGAATCTATTGAGTAAATCATCTTTGATTGATCGATGAACAAGCCGTCGTCGAGAAGAGGACAATCTGTCGTGAGATGAGTCACCACCTCCTGAGAGCATACTAGATGCGATGAAGAGTCTCCTCTTGCTGCATAGACCTGAGGATGAAGCTCCTTAACATGCGTCCCACCTCCCTCTAGCTCCTCTCCATCAGGTGACAGCCGCTAGAGAGTCACAAAGTCATTTTTTCGCTCTGCTAAGTGACAGTTGCCGGAGATAATTTGATGATCCATTTCATTGATCTCTAAACTTCGCATAGATATCTAGAGATTGTCCACGTCGTCCTTGTCCAAGGAGAGCCTTTAAGGCCATGGACACTACACGACAATCTTCCCGAATACTCAAAATTCTCATGCATCATCGACACATTATTGCCGTGATGTTAGAATTTTATTTTTCTACTTTCAACTTAATTTTTACTTCATTTAGTGATACTTTGTGTGATTTAAATTTACCAAGCTATATTTGATTCAATTACGATTTTTCTACCTTTTACAGATCTTAATTTGATTAATTAGATCATTTGTAATCGCTTACACAAGAATCACTAGGCAGAACTTTGTTCCTATTTCATTCGCATTTGTGAGGCATTGACGTCATCCTAACATCCGCACCCTTATTTCCTTTTTTCACAAATTGAAGTATATTTTATTTTCATTTCTCAGTATAAAATTCATAAAAAAATTATATTCTTTGAGAAAAATACTAAAAAGTTACCCAATATTATATTACATCTCTGTGATCGACTTAAAATATTACCACTATTTTTGTAAACTTAATTGAATTATAATTAATATATTTGTTCAGAAATACTTCTAAATATCTAAAAATTAGTATTCTCTAGTTTTATAATTTTTAAATTACGTGATTTACAATACAACGACTAAGTCACATCAAAAGGTTTTTCACCTTCCTATGGAGATCAAACATAAGGCTTATTAACTTATAAAGAATCTTAATCTTTCTTTAGACGCCATAGGTAAGCACTGTATGTTGCAATTGCAAGAGCTTCAAGAAGTACCCAATGAGATGTACGAGAAGTCTCTAATTTACAAAGTAAAAATGAAGGCTTTTTATAACAAGAAGGAGAGCAGAAAGAGTTTTCATGAGCATCAAAAAGTTTGGCTTTACAATTCTCGATTGAAACTATTCCTTGAGAAATTAAAATCTAGATGGGATGGACCATACCTTGTGATTAAAGTTTTTGACTATGGTGTAGTATTAATTGCAGATCTGAAAACTAGTAAAAATTTTAATGTGAATGGGCAAAGATTAAAACCTTATTTAGAAAATGAACCCTCCTTCTTTACCCATTTCCACTCAATTATATGATCCATCCATTGAACCTCAATCTTCTTAGAACTTTCCCTCCATCATGTACTCTAAGATGGCATAGCTTTCTTTTCCACTACATTCCATTTTTATTATTTTTCTCTATCCTTTGATATTTTTCTTGAGTTTTTATTAAGCGAACAGATCCAGCATTCTAGAGGAATTGCATATCATGATACAGATTAATACAAAAGAAAATCAGAAGGATGAAGAGTGAAAATCAGTTTGCACATTTAATGGTTTCTCCTTTTTCTCTTATATAGATATATTGAGGACAATGCGAATGGTCATTTGGGGGGGAAGAATAAATGCATGAGGATGAATACATGAGATTACATCAGGTGCTATAGTGCTTATAACTAAATCATGAAGTTCATCATCTTTCATGGTGCATATAACCCACACTCTTAAATTGAGAAAATCTACTTTGGTCTTCTGCCGGATTTATGTTATGAATTCTTATTATTAACTATGAGTAGTAAATTGAATCTTTCTCTTTCTTGATCAATACTCGGTCAAAAAAGTTTCAAATTATTTGATGCTTTTACAAATCATTAATCATCATTAAACTTGAGACAAAAGAATAAAACATGGTAAAGATTACACTAGAAAAAATAAAATAAAATTGTAGTAGCACCTTAGCTGATTTTGTGGGGCTTCCACATGTGAAATTATGATCAACAAGGCTTACAAAATTCTTCTAGCTTTTACAAATCTTAATTTGGCTAACTAAATTGTCTCTAATCGCTTATGTAAAAATCACCAGGTAGAACTCTATTTCTACTCGGTTTGCATTCATTAGGTGCTGACATCATTTTGACATCTACACCTTTATTTCCTTTTTTCACAAATTTTAAATATATTTTATTTTCTTTTTTAGTTTAAAATTCATAAAAAATCATATTCTTTGAGAACATTTATGAAATATTACTTGATATTATATTAGATTCCTATGATTGACCTAGAAAATTTTCAATATTTTTAGAACTTTGATTAAAATATAATTAATATAATTATTCAAAAATACTTCTAAATATCTAAAAATTAGTATTTTTTAGTTTTATAAATTTAAAATTTGTGTGGTTTACTAAACAAGGGATATTTTAGGTATTAAAATTATTAAAACTTTTTGAAGGCTATGACCCTAGGTTTAGTCCCACATTGGTTATATGCTGAGTTTTGAGGTTGATATATAGTAATACTAGACTTGATAATTGATAAGTCTTCATTATCATGAGTTAATAATTAGTAAATAATATGGTTTTAGTCTTAACTCATGATAAATAGAATTATATTTGTGTTAAGTGTGAAAAGTTATTTTTAGTTGATTAAAATGAATTGTTAGGTAATTATGTGATTTTATATAATTTTATATGATTTTTATAGTCTTACTTTTGAGATAAATAAAGAAAAAGAAATTAAAATAAAAATAAGACAAAATGGGGGAACCCCTCAGGCCCGCAAGTAAGTCAGAAGTGCAGTTGGGGAGTAGCCGTGAGTAGGGGCTTGAGCAGCTTGGACCAATTGGGCACATGTGCGCCACCCCCCTTCCACGTCACCGGTGGCCAGCCGATTGTGAGGCAAGGAGTGGTCATACACGTGCGAGAAAAGGACTTGATCGAAAATATAGTATTACTATATATTCACAAGAAATTTTGGCACACAATTGATGTGGAACTTTTTTAACCCCCGTCACACCTCCCTAGAAAGGGCGAGGGGGCAATCAGCGCAAGTTTGAATCCTCCCAAAGCCAAAATTCATATTTTGTTTATTTGTTTATCGTGACTTTCCTACAGATAACCGATGAAGGATTAAGCAACCAAAATCACTAGATCATTGGCAAAAATCTCATCAACGCAATTCGCAGAGTATTGTTACTAAAATTGCTGAACGATTCACGATAATAAGATCATGAATCTATCGAGTAACTCATCTTTGATTGATCGACGAACAAACTATTTTCGGGAAGAGGACAATCTGTTGGGAGACAAGTCGCCACCTCCTAAGAGCATACCAAATGCGATGAAGAGTCTCCTCTTGTTGTGCGGATCTAAGGATGAAGCTTCTTGACATGCGCCCCACCTCCATCCAGCTCCTCTCTGTCGGGTGATAGCCACTGAGAGCCGCAAAATTACTGTTTTTTTGCTCCGCCAGGTGGCAGCCACCAGAGACAATTCGACAAGCCATTTTATTGATCTCTAGACTTTGCAAGGAGATCTAGAGATTGCCCACGTCGTCTTTGTCCAAGGAGAGCCTTCAAGGCCATGGACACTGCACAAAGATCTTCTAGAATGCTCAAGATTCTAGTGCATCACTAACGCATCACCGTTGTGATGTCAGAACTCTGTTTTCCTACTTTCAACTTAATTTTCTTTTCATTTAGTGATAATTTATTGATTTTAAATTTACAAAGATATACTTCATTTCATTACGATTCTTCCGGCTTTTCTAGATCTTAACTTGATCAATTAAATTGTCTGTAATCGCTTATGTAAAGAATCACCGAGTAGAACTTTATTTTCGCTCGATTTGCATTCCTCAAGCACTGATATCATCTTGACGTCTACACCCCTATTTCTTTTTTTTGTGAATTTTAAATATATTTCCTTTTCATTTACTAGTATAAAATTTATAGAAAATAGTATTCTTTGAGGTCAATTTTGAATAATTACCAGATATTATATTACATCCCTTTGATCGACCTAGAAAATTACACTATTTTAGGAAGTTTTATTAAATTATACTTGATATATTTATTCAAAAATACTTCTAAATATCTGAAAATTCATATTTTCTAGTTTTATAAATTTTAAATTTACGTGATTTACAATACAATGACTAAGTCACGTCAAATTTTGACACCATTGCTAGGGATGTATTGCATAATATTTAGTATTTTTCTATTTTTCTCTTAGAGTACACAAAAAAATTTAACTCTTATTTTATTTTCCTTTTGCTAATTTTTTTTAAAAAAAGGGAACGAAGAGAAACAAAGCAAGGACCAGAGCATACTAAAGGAGGGTAACAATTACTAAACTTTTCCCTCGAATTTATTGATTTTTTTATGCATGGTAGAAGATCCTTGCATCCAAGACTAAAAAATCCTTCTATTATTTCATTCAAAAATAAAAATCGAAAAGAAAAATTAATTTTGATAGATCCTGAAGGAAGTACAAGTCAAATTGAGAACAATCCTATGGTCATGAAAAATCATTATATCCTTGATTCATTTCAAAGAGCATCAAATATTAGAGTCCCATTAGCACCCACTTTTAAATTCGAAATAAATCTAGGAATTTCTCAAATGCTCCCTAATTCTCATGGATTGCCTTTAGAGAAACCTCATCGGCACTTAGAAAAATTTCATATGGTCTGTGATTTAGTTAATCTCCCTCAAATTACACCATAAATTATTAAGATGAATAGGCTTTTCTTCAAAAAATTTATTCCTTAAGAAAAACTCAAAATATGAGAAAACATATATGGAGTTTTCCTCAAAGATCAGGAGAAACTTTACATGAAATATGGGAAACATTCAAAGATTTACTTAGAAAGTGTCCTCATCATGCTATACCCAAGTGGCAGCTCAATAGAATTTTTTATGATGGATTATTAGAACAACATAGAAATATGGTTGATTCTATATGTGTAAGAGCTTTTATGAAGAAAACCCCTGATGAGATTTACGGTCTTTATGAGAATTTAAGTGAAAATTTGAGAGATCAAGCCTCTTTTGAGGAATATGTAGGATCAATATTATTCTTGAATGAGTATTGATAATTGAAACATCTTGTAAATATATCTATGAGTGAAGAAGTGATAAAGATGTGAATAGAAGAAGTGAAGTCTAGATTGTTATTCCAAATAGTGTTTAAATATTTAAGTGCTTGATATCATTCTTAAATACTTGATATAAGAATCCAAAGTATTTAAAGGTGCATCATTTCTAATTATATATATTTTTTTCTTGTATTGAAATATGATATTTGAGATTTGTAAAATTTTATTTTCGTAATTCCATTGCTAAGGGACTAGCAATGATTTAAGTTGGGGGTGTGACAAGTCTTCATTATCATGAGTTAATAATTAGTAAATAATATAGATTTAGCCTTAACTCATGATAAATAGACTTATATTTTTGTTAAAGTGTGAAAAGTGATTTTCAGTTGATTAACGTGAATTTTTGGATAATTATGTGATTTTATACTATTTTTACAGTCTTACTTTTGAGATAAATGAAGAACAAGAAATAAAAATAAAAATATTACAAAATAGTGGGACCCGCTGGCCAGCTGGGCTCACAAGCAGGTTAGAAGCACAGTCGGGGAGTAGCCGTGAGCAGTGGCTCGAACGACTTGAACCGATGGAGGCACGTGCGTGCCACTCCCCTTTCACATCACTAGTGCCCAGCCGGCTGTGGGGCAAGGAGTGGTCGTACACGCGAGAGAAGGGACTTTGCTTAGAAAGCTAACATTACTATATATTCGCTTAAAAAATTGGCACACAGCTGATGTGGGACTAAACCTGCGTCACACATTCCTCAGAAGAGGCGGGCGACCGACACAGGTTCGAGTTCTTCTAGAGTCAAAAGTCATATATTTTTATCTAATTATTGTGACTTATTTGAAGATCGCCGATGAAGGATTAAGTAACGAGAATCACTAGATCATCAGCAAAAATCTCGTCAATGCGATTCGCAGAGCATTGCTACTAAAATTGCTGAAGGATTCGCGATAAAAGGATCGCGAATCCATCAAGTAAATCATCTCCGATTGATCAACAAACAAGCCGTCGTCGGGAAGAGGACAATCTGTCAAGAGACAAGTCGCCACCTCCTGAGAGTGTATCAGATGCGATGAAGAGCCTCCCTTACTGCACAGACCTGAGGATGAAGCTCCGTGACACGTGCCCCACCTCCATTCAGCTCCTCTTCGTCGAGTGACACCCGCTAGAGAGCTGCAAAGTTGCCATTTTTCCACTCCGCCGAGTGACAGCCACTAGAGACGACTCAATGACCCATTTCATTAATCTCTAGACTTCACGAGAAAATCTAGAGATTGCCCACGTTCTCTTTGTCCAAGGAGAGCCTTCGAGGCCGTAGACACTACATGACGATCCTCCCAAACACTTAGGATTCCGGTGCATCACTGACACATCGCCGTCGTGACGCCAGAACTCTGTTTTCCTACTTTCAATTTACTTTACGCTTCATTTAGTGATAATTTTTGTGTTTTTAAGTTATCAAAATATACTTTGTTCAATTATGATTCTTCGAGCTTTTACAGATCTTAATTTGATTAATTAAATTGTCTATAATCACTTATGTAAGAATCATCGGGTGGAACTCTATTTTTGCCTGATTCACGTTCGTCGGGTGCTGACATCATCTCGACATCCACACCCTTATTTCCCTTTTTTTTGTGAATTTTAATATATTTCCTTTTTATTTCCTAGTATAAAATTCATAGAAAATCATATTCATTGAGAAAAATTCTAAATAATTACGAGATATTATATTACATCCTTGTGATTGACATGGAAAATTATCGTTATTTAGGAAGTTTTATTGAATTATAATCGATATATTTATTCAGAAATACTTCTAAATATTCAAAAATTTGTATTTTCTAGTTTTATAAATTTTATATTTGCATGATTTAATATACAACGACTAAGTCACGTCACCTCCCCTCTACTTGAGTCTTGCATTGTCCTTAATGCATGTGAGAGAAGGGAAAAGAGAAGAAAATTCTGATTTTTATGCCCCATCTACTACACTATTGTCCTTGAATAGTTCTAACTAAAGCACTCGACCAATAAAATATGTCCAAAACAAAAGCTAGTAAGGAAATGCATAAAAAGAAATGATAGTTCTCCTCACGATAAAATATGTGCATACACACAAATAGATCAAGTTCTCAAATATCTGCTAGAGACCAACCAATCACCTCTCTCTATGTCCTAAGTACATCAAGTAATCTATTCTCTTGATCCTTAGACAAATACGATGATATAATCATTGGATAAGTTTGATGTTAATCAAAAAATACATGCTTTAGTAAAGATGGTTGATAAGTCTTCATTATCATGAGTTAATAATTAATTAATAATATAGTTTTAATCTAAACTCATGATAAATAGACTTATATTTATGTCAAATTATGAAAAATAGTTTTTAGTTGGTTAATTTAGCTAATTATGGAATTTTATGTGAATTTATATAATTTTAATAATCTTATTTTTGAGGTAAATGAAGAGAAATAAAATAAAAAGATAGAAGAAAGAGGAAACTTGTCACCTAGTCAAGCCCACAAGCAAGTTGGAAGCATAGACAGGCGGAATCGTGAGTAAGGGCATGTGCGGCTAAAGACGGACTAATAAGGGGCACATGTGCATCACTCACCTTCCACATCATCAATGGCCAGTCGGGCATGTGATAAAGAGTAGTCGTACACATGTGAGAAAGGGACACATTTATTATCAAGTCTAGTATTACTATATATCAACGTTAGAACTCGGCATATAATCAATGTTGGACTAAACCTGGGGTCACAGCCTTCGAAAAATTTAATAATTTTAATATCCCTTATTTAGTAAACCATAGAAATTTAAAATTTATAAAACTAGAAAACACTAATCTTTAGATATTTAAAAGTATTTTTGAATAATTATATCAATTATAGTTTAATGAAAGGTCTAAAAATAGTAGAAATTTTCTAGGTGAATCACAGGGATGTAATATAATGTCAGGTAATATTTCAGAAATGTTCTCAAAGAATATGATTTTTTATGAATTTTAAATTAAAAAAGAAAAGAAAGTATATTTCAAATTTCTGAAAAAGGGAAATAAATGTGTAGATGTCAAAATGATGTCAGCACCTAATGAATGCAAACCAGGCAGAAATAGAGTTCTGCCTAGTGATTTTTAGATAAGTGATTATAGATGATTTAATTAGTCAAATTAAGATCTGTAAAAGCTAGAAGAATCGTTACAAGAAGTATTTAACAAGCCTTGTTGATCCTAATTTCACATGTGGAAGCCCCACGAAATCAGCTAAGGTGCTACTACGATTTTTATTTTATTTTCTCTAAAGTAATCATTACCATGTTCTATCCTTTTGTCTCAAGTTTAATCATGATTAATGATTTGTAAAAGCATCAACTAATTTGAAAACTTTTTGACTGACTACTAATCAAGAAAGAGAAAGATTCAATTTACTACTCATAGTTAATAATAAGAATTCATAACATAAATCCAGCAGAAGATCAAACTAGATTTTCTCAATTTAAGAGTGGGTTATATGCACCATGAAAGATGATGAACTTCATCATTTAGTTATAAGCATTATAGCACCTGATGTAATCTCATGTATTCACCCTCATGCATTTATTCTTCCCCCCCAAACAACCATTCTCATTGTCCTCAATGCATCTATATAAGAGAAAAAGGAGAAAGCATTAAATGTGCAAACTGATTTTCACTCTTCATCCTTCTGATTTTCTTTTGTATTAATCTGTGTCATGATATGCACTTCTTCTAGAACGCTGGATCTGTTCGCTTAATAAAAACTTCAGAAAAATATCAAAGGATAGAGAAAAATAATAAAAATGGAATGTAGTGGAAAAGAAAGCTATGCCATCTTAGAGTACATGATGGAGGGGAAGTTCTAAGAAGATTGAGGTTCAATGGATGGATCATATAATTGAGTGGAAATGGGTAAAGAAGGAGGGTTCATTTCTAAATAAGGTTTTAATCTTTGCCCATTCACATTAAAAATTTTACCAATTTTCAGATCTGTAATTAATACTGCACCACAGTCAAAAACTTTAATCACAAGGTATGGTCCATCCCATCTAGATTTTAATTTCTCGAGGAATAGTTTCAATCTAGAATTGTAAAGCCAAACTTTTTGATGCTCATGAAAACTCTTTCTGCTCACCTTCTTGTTATAAAAAGCCATCATTTTTGCTTTGTAAATCAAAGACTTCTCGTACATCTCATTGGGTAGTTCTTGAAGCTCTTGCAACTACAACATACAGTGCTTACCTACGGTGTCTAAAGAGAGATGAAGATTTTTTATAACCTAATAGGCTATGTTCGATCTCCATAGGAAGGTGACAAACCTTTTGACATGACTTAGTTGTTGTATTGTAAATCACGTAAATTTTAAAACATAAAAAATAAAAAATAAAAAATAAAAAATAAAAAATCACGTAAATTTAAAAATTATAAAACTAGAAAATACTAATTTTTAGATATTTAGAAGTATTTCTGAACAAATATATCAATTATAATTCAATCAAATTTACAAAAATAGTGGTAATTTTCCAAGTCGATCATAGAGATGTAATATAATATTGGGTAACTTTTTAATATTTTTCTCAAAGAATATAATTTTTTTATGAGAAATGAAAATAAAATATACTTAAATTTGTGAAAAAAGAAAATAAGGGTATGGATGTTAGGATGATGTCAGCGCCTGACGAATGCGAATCAAATAGAAATAGAGTTTTGTCTAGCGACTTTTGCGTAAGCAATTACAGACGATCTAATTGATCAAATTAAGATCTGTAAAAGGTGGAAGAATTGTAATTGAATCAAATATAGTTTGGTAAATTTAAATCACACAAATTGTCACTAAATGAATTAGAAATTAAGTTGAAAGTAGAAAAATAAAGTTCCAACATCACGGCAACAATGTGTCGATGATGTACGAGAAGTTTGAGTAGTCGAGAAGATTGTTGTGCAATGTCTACAGCCTCAAAGGCTCTCTTTCGACAAGGACGACGCGGGCAATCTCTAGATATCTTCGTGAAATCTAAAGATCAATAAAATAGGTCGTCAAATTAGCTCCGACAGTTGTCACTCAGCGAAATGAAAAAACGATGACTTTGTGACTCTCTAGCGGCTGTCACTCGACGTAGAAGAGTTAGATGGAGGTGGGGCGTGTGTTAAGGAGCTTCGTCCTCATGTCTATGCAGCAAGAGGAGGCACTTCATTGCATCTAGTATGCTCACAAGAGGTGGCAACTCGTCTCTTGACAGATTGTCCTCTTCTCGATGACAACTTGTTCATCGATCAATCGAAGATGATTTACATGATGGATTCATGATCCTTTCATCACAAATTGTTTTTTAGCAATTTAAGTAACAATGCTTTGCGAATTGCGTTGAATTTTTTTTTACCAATGATCTAATAATTTTAGTGGCTTAATCCTTCACTAGTGATCTATAAGAAAGTCGAGATAATCTTTCATTGGGCTTTAGGAAGATTCGAACCCGTGTTGATTGCCCGCCTACATGAGAGAGATTAAAATAAATACTCTAATACCCTTATCAAGTGACATCTTCATAGTATATCTCTATTATAACTAAGGAGTAATTTAGGTCTTAAAACCTTCAAAGTCTTTCAAGGGAAGGTGTGATGTGGTTTTAGTCCCACATCGCTTGTGTGCCAAAGTTTTAGGCGAATATATAGTAATATCACATTTACAAGTGATAAGTCTTCACTATCATGAGTTAATAATTAGTAAATAATATAGTTTTAACCTTAACTCATAATAAATAGACTTATATTTATGTTAAAGTGTGAAAAGTGGTTTTCAATTAATTAATGTGAATTTTTAGGTAATTATGTGATTTTACATGAAATTATATGATTTTTACAATCTTACTTTTGAGATAAATAATGAAAAAGAAATAAAAAAATAAAAATAAGACAAAATGAGGGGGATCTACCAGCTAGCTGGGCCTGCAAGCAGGTCGGAAGCATAGTCGGGGAGTAGTCGCAAGCAAGGGCTCGAGTGACTTGGATAGATAGGGGCACGTGTGTGCCACTCCCCTTCCACGTCACCGGTGGCCAATCGGCTATTTGGTAAGGAGTGGTACACCTGAGAGAAGAGACTTTGCTTAGAAATCTAACATTACTATATATTTGCCCGAAAATTCGGCGCACAATCGATGTGAGACTAAACCCGTGTCACACCTACCTCAGAAGGGGGGCGGGCGACCAGCGCGGGTTCGAATCCTCCTAGAGCCAAAACTCATATTTTTTTAATCTGATTATCATGACTTTCTTGTAGATCGCTAGTGAAGGATTCAGCAACCAGAATCGCTAGATCATTAGTGAAAATCTCGTCAACACGATTTGCAGAGTATTGTTACTAAAATTGTTGAATGATTCACGATAAAAGGATTGCAAATCTATCGAGTAAAGCATCTCCGATTGATTGACGAACAAGCCGTCGTTGGGAAGAGGACGATCTGTTGGGAGACGAGTCGCCACTTCTTGAGAGCATACCAGATGCGATGAAGAGCCTCCTCTTGCTACGCAGACCTGAGGATGAAGCTCCCTGACACATGCCCCACCTCCATCTAGCTCCTCTCTGTCGAGTGATAGTCACTAGAGAGCCACAAAGTTGCCGTTTTTCTACTTCGCCGGGTGACAGCTGCCAGCGACGATTCGACGACCCACTTCATTGATCTCTAGACTTCGCAAGGAGATTTAGAGATTGCCCACATTGTTTTTGTCCAAGGAGAGCTTTCGAGGTTGTGGACATTACACAACGATCCTCCCCAATGCTCAAGATTCCAATGTATTGTCGATGCATCGTCGTCGTGACATCGGAACTCTATTTTCTTACTTTCAACTTACTTTACGCTTCATTAAAAATTAGTGATAATTTTTGTGATTTTAATTTACCAAAATATACTTCATTCTATTATGATTCTTTTGGCTTTTACAGATCTTAATTTGATTAATTAAATCATCTATAATCACTTACATAAGAATTTTTGGGCGGAATTCTATTTCTACTCGATTCGTATTTGCAGGGCGCTGATGTCATCTTGACATCCGCACCCTTATTTTCCTTTTTTGTGAATTTTAAATATATTTTCTTTTTATTTCTTAGTATAAAATTTATAGAAAATCATATTCATTGAGAAAAATTATGAATACTTACCAGATATTATATTATATCTCTATGCCTGACTTATAAAATTATTGCTATTTATGAAAGTTTTATTGAATTATAATTGATATATTTATTTAGAAATACTTCTAAATATCCAAAAATTCATATTTTCTAGTTTTATAAATTTTAGATTTGCGTGATTTAATATACAATGACTGAGTCACATCAACAAGTAATGAGTATATTTCTCTCACATGTACAACCACTCTTTGCCTCAGTCTTGGCTGGCCACCGGTGACGTGGAAAGGGAGTGGCGCACACATGGCTCCATTGGTCCTAGTCACCCAAGCCCTTGCTTGTGGCTCCCCCCGACTACCCTTCTGACCTACTTGTAGGCCTAGTTGGCTGATGGGTCCCCTCTTTTTGCTATATTTTTATTTTATTTTTTTTCTTGATTTATTTTAAAAAATAGGATTATAAAAATCATATAAATACATACAAAATTATTTAATTAGCTAAAAAAATCACATTAATCCATTGAAAACTTTTTTTAAAAATTTAATAGAAATATAAGTCTATTTATCATGAGATAAGGTTAAAAATATATTATTTACTAATTATTAACTCATGATAATGAAAACTTATCAGTGGTTTTCTATTATGATAAAAAAAGACATTATATTAACAAATAATAAAGGTAAAAATATTGTACTTGAAAATATTATCAATTTACTTGAAAATATTGTACGTGTACTCTTAAAAAGGCAAAAATCTCATTTTATATGTGTAAAACTATATACAAATTTATATACAATATAGATTTGGCTCAAAAACATTTAATAGGGGTCGCATATAGAATTATGTAACTCTTAATTACAATTGTACATTAGACTACAGTCAAAATAGATAATAGATAATAATTTTTTTCAATAAATAGTTTCCATGATTAATTCATCATCCTCATAAATGTGATGGTCGGCACACTTGTTAATACAATAACTTCCTACTTATGCTTAAAGTCTTAGTTTAGACAAGAAATTCATTTTCCACTCATCAATGGAATGAATCAAGATTTGACGATGAGTACATTTTTCTTCAAGTTTAGGAAAACATCTAGAGGGTGCAATGTATAAAAAGTATATACGATGACATTCATTCATGTGAATCATATAAGATTTAACTTTGTCAAGATATGCTTTTCAAATTGAAAACATTACAAAGCATAACTATGTGACTTTTATTTCAAACTCCTCTTTATATACCCAATCTTCTATGAATCTAGATGCTTCTTAATTTTTAGATCATCACTAAAGAAATCATACTTTTACTATGATGGGAACTAATTACGACATTACATTACTTTCAGTTTTGGACTACATGTGGTTCTAAACACATTATGGGGTGGATGTGTGTCCTTTGGTGGACACATAAGCTTCCAATACATAATTCTTATTTCTTCATAACTTTACATATTCTAATAAATAATATTAATCATAATGATTAGTAATTATAAATATAACCTAAACTATCAAATTCGTGCCATTTAATCCAATACTTGTAGTGTTCATTTATTTACTGATAAAATTTTCATTTTGGTAAACTATAGTAATTATTCATTGCAACTAATCATTATGATTGTATGAAATAATATTAGATTTCTTCCCTTTAATACTGTATTTTTATGTGCCAGCTTTCTTATAAAAAAGTAATATTCATTATTTATGCATAAAATTTACATTTATCGGTCTAATAATTATTTCTGATAATTTGTAAGTGTGAATGTACTTAAACATATTATATTCCTGTACTCAATAGGTTACATCCAAAGTGGTGCCATTTCCAAGGTGAATAGATAGTAGGTACAAAACATTTCTAAAGTTTAAATGTTGGCAATAAATGATACATATTCCTAGCAAGAGTAACTATGATATTATACTACTTATACTCACGCCCTCTAAATGGTTGTCTTGTATTATTATCATTGATTGATATAGTTTCTGTTTTTGCATAAATATTAATTACACACCTTTATCAATAGCTATGATTACATTAAAAAAGTATTATATTCATGCCCTTAATATCAGGCTTTTAAACTATCGTTTTCTTTATGAATAAATAATAACAATAATAATAAATAATTTAGTCATGAGATTTATGTTTTCTCAATTGGCACTTTACAGATTTTATTTATATTCTTACATGTACATGGTCATGGTCTGTCATCAATCAAACATTTTATCCGTTTCTTTCTATGACACTCATCTTCTTCATTATTTACCTGCAATCTTCCACGTTTTTGGTGAACCTGTTGGAAACATGGTCAGCCTATTTAACAACAGATGATAGAGCCATGAAAAAGAGATAAAACCATCTGACATAAAATAAAAATATGTGAGGTAATTTCAGTGATGTCATGTTTGCAACCACCTTCAAAATTGCATCAATCCGAATGGTCTTTAACAGGGTGCAGGGGGGGCATATCAAGCTTCCAAAAAGAGAAATGAGCTTCGAGTAGGTGGGCTGCTCAACAAATTGTATCTTCTTCACTGCTTCAAGGAATTGTGCACAAGGAGGGGGACAGCCACCACACAGCGTCTCGGGGGAGGTTACAGTCTTGTTCATGAAGACTAGAAACCTCTTGTCATTCCCCTACATAGTTGGCATAAGAATCAGCAAGTGATCAATCAAAGAGATGGGAGAACATGTACAAGTAGAGGTGAAAGCAAACCTGATAGCCTTCCCACGGCAGCCTTCCTTTAATCAAAAAAATCAGAGTGTAGGCCAATGACTCAAGATCATCTCTTCTACTCGCTGTGAGGCCTAAATGTGCATGGACGCTTGCATATCGTGTTGTGCCCCTAGGGAACATGAGATAGATAGTAAGGTAGGGGTAAGATTTTATGAATCCTCCTCTTAGCTAAGAATTTAGGGAAAAAATAGAATATCGTTTCCCAAAAAACCTGAAATTATCTGGCTGTTGGCATAAGCTGACATGCTGGCCTGACAAACTGTCCCTCCACATTGAAGCTGATTAAAATATTAATGACACCAATTAGCATTTGTACAGGCTCTGAACAAAGCACAAAAATATCACTGATGTTGATACAGACAGGGACTTCTCAGTCAAGACGAATTTGTTTATATACTTGGAAAAACAAACCCTACTCTAAAATCAATAGGTGCGAAAGGTGAAAACAAGAAGTGATTGGAATGCAGCAACATACCCAGCCCAAAGTCGATGAGAAAAAGCTTCTTCTCCCCTGAGCTTCCGGGTTTACCCAACAATAAATTCTCTGGCTTGACGTCTCCATGCACAAACCTGGCATGTTTTTTTTTTTGTGTGGGTGGAGGGAGGGAGGGGAGTGCACAAGGGAGCAATGAATTGATTACTGTGACCTTTGCAAAAATTTAATTGAAAAAATATCACACTGCCACAAAGCCATACGTACCCTTTTTGGTGTAGCTTCTCAAGGATGGATATTGCCTCCACAGCAATACAAGCCACCATATTTGGTGGCATTCTGTCCAAGGAGTTAGTCAAACTCAATAGCACAATTCTCAACAGAATATTGACTTTGAATATGAAGTCAAGATTATTTTCTTACACTTGCCCAATGGATATGAACACATCCAGGAGACTTGGTCCAAGGATGTCCATGATCTGCAGCAATCATCATCAACAATATCATAATTAGCTTTCAATAAAAAACATAATTCGAGGAAACAATAAAATGAAAGACTCTACGCCAACCATGACGAAATAATCTCCTTGGCGGCCCTTGTAGTGCACCCTAGGCAATCCATAGCATCCCTTGAGATGGCTAAAACCATATTCACAAAGTCAGATGAAGAACGTAGTTTTAGATCGACACAATACGTAATAAATTAGAGCAGTAGGGGGTGTCTTCTTACTCATAAACTTGCCATTCATATGGGGGGCCAAATCTGCAACCCGTGCTATTTCTATGCTCAAACTTCAGTGCTACCTACACCCACCGCAGGAAAATGAAAGAGACAACATAAAACAGCAGTATTTAAAGATTCCCTTGGCAGGAGTGATGGGAGGTTGAAACTAAACCTTAAAGGCATTGGGCCCATCGCCCTGAGATCCACCAGCCACCCTTCGTCCAATGTAGACCAGCCCAAAACCTCCTGCACCCAACATTCTCTCTACCTTGTATAATGGAGAATTTCCGACCTGCACCTGTCGATTTTGGATAGGACATTCCTATTGTCAAGATGTGATGTGCTTTGGGATGGAGAGAGAAAGCTCTCTACAGTCGCCGTCAAGGAAAGGAATGAGGGACGTCGAAGCATGTACCCGATCCGGGATGGGAGACATCCTCGCTTCCTCCTGTAGCCCGACAACCTCGTCCACACTTCCTCCCTCGATTCCAGCTGCTTTCTCAACAGGACAGCCCGCCACCAAGTTCTGATGGTTTTTCTGGGTGGGGAATAACGCTCGGGAGAGCTGCAGGTACGGAGGGTGTTGTTTCCTGCCGGAAATCACCGGGTTCTTCTCCAGAAACTGGTCGATCGCTCAGCGATCCGAAAATCGAATGTGCCCCTTGATTCAACACGCTCACCCGTCACCGTCAATCGATAAACCTTGCTGAAATAATCTTTTCTCCTCCAGACGGTAACACTCATCCGTCCCCAAAGAGCAATCGGATGGAAGTCTAAAGAAGAAGATAGATCCCCCTACCCAGACCAAACATCAAATCGAATCAGCAACGAAGCGGCAAAACAAATCGGAAGAAGGTAAATAAATAAGAGGAAGGAGGAAAGCCAGAGCTTTCTTCAGCAATCTCGCACCACCCGCACCACCGCAGGCAACCGAAAGTCCAAATCAAAGAAAATAAAGATCCCATCCAAAGAGTCCACAAGAAGATGCCCCCGACACAGAAAATCACGAACCCATCGAAAGACGGCACTAGAACATAACCCCCGAATCAACGAAAGGCGAGAATTCGTCGAAAGACGGCACTAGAACATACCCGGAGCGGCCTTTCAGGGAAGCAGAAGCCTGGGAACGTACGACCTCTCCGTGAGGCGGCGCCGACCGTGACCTCGGCGTCTTCGGCGGTGGACTCCTCCGCCGGATGCGGCCTCCCACTCTTCCTCCGGATTCGCGCACGAGAAAGGGTTCCAGAAGAACTCGACGGAGAGGAGAGGAGAAGGCGGCAGGCTGTCCGAACTCCGCCGTGCTTCGTAGAGCGAGGACGCATCCACAGAAAGAAAGCGAGAGCAAGATAGAGTGAGAGAGAGCAGACAGACAAAGGGAGCGAGAAAAGGCGCGAAAGAAAGAGAGATCAATGACAGCCTTACTCTATCACCCGCTCTTCTTTCACGTTCTGCCATTAGGTACGGATCTCCAATTACATTTCTCTTTGAGGTCTGACGTAAATTGTGCCAATTTCTGTTCACGATGTCCGTTGAAATGTCGTCGAACCCGTGTGGGCCACGTGTCCCACATCTGCTTAAGTGTCATGCCAACTCGTCGGTTCTGCTTCCACTGTCGACCTGTTGATGGTTTAACTTTTAGCCTCTGAATATTCCGGCCCATTGGGTCACTTGGCTCGGCCCAGCCCAACTCATTCTGATTTTCTTTTATTTTAGACCTTTATATCAAAACCTCTTAGAAATTATGAGAAATTCTAGAAAATTTCAAAAAATCCAGGATAAAATTTAGAAAATCCTAAAACTCACATAAAAAATATTTCATGCATAATTATTTAAAATTAATTATCTTAAAATAATTTTTAAAGTATTAAAATACATGTTTATGTATGAATGATCTGAATGCATACGAATTAAATGTAACATGTATTATTTTCATTAATTTTATGCACTAAATACTGATAAATATAAGGTAAATACAGATAATGAAGACTTATCAACCACAACATAATAACTAGACTAAGATGATCTAGTTCAATCGTTTTCATCCACAATATACTATCATTAGCCATTTATTGTCGCACCACATACCCATGAATACAACCTAAAACTCCTTCATACTTCAAAGAATAATGATCATGGTAAAGAATTCACCTATCTTTTTTTCATGAGATCCACACCCCTAATCTAGAGAAGGTAAACTTTTCTAATTGACTTACCCTTTTAAAGGAGCATTAGGCTTTGTTCGTTTAAGCATACGTGTTTGTGCAAATAATCAATGCAGCAAAAGTTTTAAAATATTCATAACATTTTTGAATTTTTTTGTTCTCCCCTCTACTTGAATGATGCATTATCTCTAGTGCATGCAAATGAAGGAAGAGATAACCTCCCCCCTACTTGAGTCTTGCATTGTCCTTAATGCATGTGAGAGAAGGGAAAAGAGAAGAAAATTCTGATTTTTATGCCCCATCTACTATACTATTGCCCTAAATAGTTCTAGCTAAAGCACTCAACCAATAAAATATGTCCTAAACAAAAGCTCGTAAGGAAATGCATAAAAAGAAATGATAATTCTCCTCAGGATAAAATAATTGCATACACACAAATAGATCAAGTCCTCAAATATCTGCTAGAGACCAGCCAATCACCTCTCTCTATGTCCTAAGTACATCAAGTAATCTATTCTCTTGATCTTTAGACAAATACGATGATATAATCATTGGATAAGTTTGATGTTAATCAAAAAATACATGCTTTAGTGAAGATGGTTGATAAGTCTTCATTATCATGAGTTAATAATTAATTAATAATATAGTTTTAATCTAAACTCATGATAAATAGATTTATATTTCTGTCAAATTATGAAAAATAGTTTTTAGCTAGTTAATTTGGCTAATTATGAAATTTTTTGTGAATTTATATAATTTTTATAATCTTATTTTTGAGTTAAATAAAGAGAAATAAAATAAAAAGATAGAAGAAAGAGAAAACATGCCACCTAGTCGAGCCCATAAATAGGTTGGAAGCATTGACAGGTGGAATCATGAGTAAGGGCTTGAGCGGCTAAAGATAAACTGATAGGGGGACACATGTGCGTCACTCCCCTTCCACATCACCAATGACCAATTAGGCATGCGACAAAGAGTGGCCATACACATGTTAGAAAGGGATACATTGATTATTGATGTGACTTAGTCGTTGTATTGTAAATCATGCAAATTTAAAATTTATAAAACTAGAAAATATGAATTTTTAGATATTTAGAAATATTTCTGAATAAATATATCAATTATAATTCAATAAAAATTTCAAAAATAATGGTAATTTTCTAGGTCAATCAGAGGGATGTAATATAGTATCTGGCAATTATTCAAAATTGTCCTCAAAGAATACTATTTTCTATGAATTTTATACTAATAAATGAAAATGAAATATATTTAAAATTTACAAAAAAAAGAAATACAGGTGTAGACATCAGGATGATGCTAGCACTTGGCGAATGCAAATCGGGTGAAAATAGAGTTCCACCTAGTGATTCTTACAAAAGTTAGAAGAATCGTAATGAAATGAAGTATATCTTTGTAAATTTAAAATCAACAAATTATCACTAAATGGAACGAAAATTAAGTTGAAAGTAGGAAAATAAAATTCCGACGTCAAGGCGGTGATGCGTCGGCGATGCACCAGAATCTTGAGCATTCGGGAGGATTGTCGTGCAGTGTCCATGGCCTTGAAGGCTCTCCTTGGACAAAGACAACGTGAGCAATCTCTAGATCTCCTTGCAAAGTCTAAAGATCAATGAATGGGTTGTTGAATCCTCTCTAGCGGCTGTCACCCCTAGTGGAACGGAAAAATGACAACTTTGCAGCTCTCTGGTGGCTGTCACCCGACAAAGAGGAGCTGGATGCAGGTGAGGTGTGTGTCAAGAAGCTTCATCCTCAGATCTGTGCAGCGAGAGGAGGCTCTTCATTGCATCTAGTATGCTCTCAAGAGGTGGTGACTCGTCTCCCGACAGATTGTCCTCTTCCCAATGATAGCTTGTTCGTCGATCAATCAGAGATGAGTTACTCGATGGATTTGCGATGCTTTTATCGCGAATCGTTTAGCAATTTTAGTAACAATGCTCCATGAATCGTGTTGACAAGATTTTCATCAATGATTCAGTGATTCTAGTTGCTTAATTCTTCACCAACGATCTGTAGGAAAGTCACGATAATCAAATAAATAAAATATGAATTTTGGCTTTGGGAGGATTTGAACCTGCACCGGTTGCATCCTCGCCCTTTCTGGGGAGGTGTGACGTGGGTTAAAAAGTCCCACATCAATTGTGTGCTGAAATTTCTAGTGAATATATAGTAATACTACATTTCTGATCAAGTCCCTTTCTTGCATGTGTACGACCACTCCTTGTCCCACAGTTGATTGGCCACCAGTGACATGGAAGGGGGGTGGCGCACATGTGTCCAATCGGTCCAAGCCACTCGAGCCCCTACTCACAGCTACTCCCCGATTGCACTTCCGATCTACTTGTAGGCCCAATTGGCCAGCGGGTCCCCCCATTTTGTCTTATTTTTATTTTAATTTCTTTTTCTTCATTTATCTCAAAAGTAAAACTATAAAAATCATGTAAAATCGTATAAAGCCACATAATTACCCAAAAATTCACGTTAATCAATTGAAAACAACCTTTCACACTTTAACATAAATATAAGTCTATTTATCATGAATTAAGACTAAAACTATATTATTTACTAATTATTAACTCATGATAATTAAGACTTACCACACCCCCCAACTTAAATCATTGCTAGTCCCTTAGCAATGGAATTACGAAAATAAAAATTTACAAATCTCAAACATCATATTTCAATACATAAAAAGAAAAAAAATACAATCAGAAATGATGCACCTTTAGACACTTTAGATTCTTATATCAAGTATTTAAGAATGATGTCAAGCACTTAAATGTTTAAGCATTTCTTCGAATAACAATCTAGACTTCACTTCTTCTATTCACATCTTTATCACTTCTTCACTCATAGATATATTTACAAGATGTTCTAATTATTAATACTCATCCAAGAATATATATTGATCTTATATTTCCTTTTTTTCATGGCTTTATTTTTGAAGTTTGTACTATATTTCTTCCTTCTCTTTTTTTTTATATATATAGTGGATAAGTAGCTTTTTTCGTAGAAAAATTTTGACAATAAGAATGATGTCTCACACCCTCTATGTGTACACTTCATTTTCAGGGCTTTCACTTTATCCACTTATTTTGCAGTAAGTGTTTTTCTATGCATGATTTTCAATAATGAGAATGATGTCTCACACCCTCTATGTGTACTCTTCGTTTCTAGATTTTTCATATTGCTCTCTCTTTTTTATTTTTTTTCGAAATAAGTAATTTTTCCTCACAGGTCCTATAGATCAGGGTAC